GGAAAGAGATTTTTTTTAATCAGATAGTAATGTTAAAACTGCATAGTGTAACTTCTGATTTTTCCAGGCTTTTTGTCTGCACCTCAGTCTTGTCAATGATACGGAAAATGTCATTGCAATAAGTGCATTCGGTGCCTAATAATTTTAAATTGCACTGTATTCACTATTTGATCTCAAAGTTTTACTCCATCAAATTGATGCATTTTCCTCTCAAACAGATTGATTTTGAGACTTCCAGGAAAAAACCTTATTGGGTTAGTAGTCCCTAAAATGGCTTGTGACAAATTGTGGCCCATCCCAGTATGGAGGTAAGGAGAAAGAAGAAACAATGAAGAAAACAGAGCTCACCAGTTCATTTACCTCTTGAATGGAGAAAGGATTTCCATTTCCTGTCCTAGCACTTCTCTTGGGTGCCTGGATACTAAACCCTCTGAAGACTTGGTGGTAGTGGCTTATAATGTGCAGAAAATAAATCATTCCCCACATGTTGACCCTTAGACTATTATACCTTGGTGTTTTCCTTTTACACAGTGGTGATAAGTAAGGCCGTTTGACTGATATAGAAGAATCACAGTTTTATTAGGCAGCTTTGTGACTGCTTTCTGGGCCCTGGCTGGTTGTATGGAATAGCTGAGTAGTCGAGGGGCTCCATGCTTTCATCATGGGTGGTCAGTGGATAATTCCAAACCTGTGAGCACTGTACAAAAGTAGGACAGAGTACAGCGAGTCCAGGGTGAGTGGAAGCATGACTGACACTTTATGTCATGGTCACTTGTTACATATGAGTACTGCATATGTGGACAAGAAGTAAGGCATATCATGCTATGTGGGGAGATGTATATACTCATTGCTTTATATATTCACACTCTTGAATTATGTGTGGAGTACTTTTTTGTTTTTTTCCCATTTTCCTTCTAAAAGAAACCTTTTTTTCCTGTTGGTATTAGTAACATCTTTCAACATGAGAAAAATATTCAGGAAAAAAAAACTTGTCTGAAGCTGTACAACCAAGAGAAAACCGTGTTTGACACTTGTTCTTTTTTTAATGGTACATTGTGGGAATTGAGGGGCGTTCCCTTCAATTTAGGATACACATGTATGATACAAGCTTGTGTTTGAATTTTTCAAAACTTGTGGTAGTTTTTCCATGTCAAAATATTTTTTGAAAATATAACTATTGCATTGAATCTTTGGTATTGATATATATAATTTACTTAACCATTCTTGAATAGGTAAGCCATTTCTAGTGTTTCATTGGCTTTGGTGAGCATAAAAGTTACGTTTACTCAAAGAACAGGCTGTGTTTTAATCATTTATGTTATTTCATTTTTTCCTTTGATGAATTTATTTTTTTTTAGTTAACACAATTGCCTTTACATACTGTGTCTATCTGGAGCCCCATAGAGAACACAGCAGCCTATAGGATGGGGCCGGAAGAGAATTTGTTTCTCAGTGTGCAGTCACTTCCACAGAGCCATGCTGGTGCCACATCACCTCCTCCAGGACTAGCCCAGTGTTTTGGAAGCTGAGAAAGGTGCTAATAGAAGGGAAATTGGCATCTTTCTTTTTGCCAGACTCCCAACCTCCCCATGCCTTTGGAGTTTCCAGAAATGTTTCATTAAAAATAAAAAATTCACTTCCCCAGTCACCCTTGTTTTGCATCCATTTGGTAGTAGCGAAATGAAATTATCGAGATTCTGTTCAGAGGTTGGGCCTCAGTCCTGCAGTGGATTGAAGCAGACAGCTCTGCACTCCTGGGATGGGGTGGGTGCTCTAGGCGGCACCTCCTGCAAGATTTGTATGGTGTGCATCTGTCAGGCAGTAATTTGGAATTTGCAGGTTAGCAAGAGACACCTGCCCGCCCAGGAAGCCCTGCCTGATGTCTGTAGGGAAGTGGTGGGTCCTCTGGGGAGGTCCTGGAGCAGGAAGGCCCAGGGCGAAGTAGGTATTTCCAGGCCCTTAGTGAGCTCTACCACGGGGCCAGGAATAAGCGGATGCCACATGGAGGATTTTGCTTCATTTCTATTTGTAATGAAAATGGGGGCTTTCTGTCCTAGTTAAGGAACATGTTCTTTCCGTTGTTCTGAAACAGCTCTTGGAGGTTAACAGGCTTCTACTATCCAGGCAGAGAAGTGGCACAAGGCATATTCAGCAATCAGCTATTTTGGCCACTGAACAATTCTTTTTTTTTTTTTTTTTTTTTTAAT